TAAACGTGTCAATGTAGGATTTATCTTCAAATTGTGCTTAAAGCTTGTATGGAAGGCATAATGAAATGACAGTAAAAGTCAGCCTTCCGCGGATGCTAATGTAAAATTGTAACGCTGAATTTCCCTCGAGTATCATCGAAATCGAGGACGATAACTCCACTTTTCTCACGTAAAGTGACTTATAAACCGTTCAAATTTGGGTTCAGTTCACCAGTTCGTTCAGAATTCGCTAATTTTCGAGTGAACTCACTTTTGCGATCGAAGCTGATGGGCCATGCCCTCCAGCGAGCGATGACACAATCTATTCCCGCTGTTTGGCCCTCGACGGGCGAGCGAATTACAGTGGGCGTCCTGGTCTTGTTACTGACCGGCTTGATTTGAGCACCGTCGGTTCAGCCCACGAATCAACTACGTCACGTAAGTGAACTCCAAGTATTTTAAGCAGATATAAGCACTGTATTATAATACTCTATATTTGTAGGTATAAAGTGCTACTCCTGAAACTTGGCCAATCCTATGATTTTAAAACTTAACATAAACAGGAATAACCTGTTGGAGACAGGGTTTCGTATCCAAAACGAAAGACAGAAATATGTGTCCTGCGAGGAACTTTGGGAAGGACAGTAATTTCATTCCATTGAAATCTAAGAAGCTAAATAATATTTATTTACATGAAATTAGTTTCTCAAGAACATTGAAGTAAAATCAACTCCTAATTTAGAGCAGTGAGGACCCCTTCGAGAAAACACATCACACTTTCAACTTCCTCCCTTAAAAAGAAAAACAAATCCTGTACCAAGTGAACTTTGTCTCTGATTCTGTGTTTGTTTGTTTGTTTGCTTGTTTATTATTAAAACAAACAAACAAACAAACAAACAAACAAACAAATAGGCCTAGCAAAGGAAGCATGAATTTTACTTTCACTATGTCTAATAGCTGTAACAGCAGCTATTATGTTTGGCCGTTTGTGCCGAAATGGGACTGGTATCCTCCCGCTGGGAGCTGACATGGTTTCAGGAAATTTCAGATGTGATTTAATGACAGATACTTTCCAATATTGTGTGCCTTTTTAATGCTTTGACATCATCATTATTCTAAGATGTTTTTTCTTCAACCTGCAGCTTTACAGAGAGTTGTGCTGTCCAGGAGCAGACGGTGGACATGGAATAAGCTTGGGAAGGTAGCCAGTAAGTAAATTCCAAAATGATTTGATCTCATCCGACGTTCAAGTTGTCTAACAGCCAAAATAATCCAGCCTTTTAATTTTTCATACGAAACTTTCCTCATTGGTTCCTGGTACACTGTCGTGCGTTGTAATGACGAAAGCTTCAGTCTCACATTAGGCCTAGATTCTTACATGAAATTCTTGGATGCATTGACACGCCCTTCAAAATCGACTCATTCTTTGCGTGCGCAGACGGTAAAAATGCCCTCAATTCCCATGCATCTAAGTTTTTCAGTTTATTTTTCACTAAATTTTCCAAACCCAGCTTAACTTTAGGCCTAAGTCTAAGTGTAATCTGCCTGTAATTAACTTTATGCATACGCCCTCTGGAAATGGTTCATGTTTTGACATTGTTCGTCGTCGATGGGGGCAGTATTCAGCCGTTAAAAGCGGAGCTGTGTATCGAGAGCGTAACGCCAGCTTCAGACTTTGGACCCAAAATGGCTGTTCATTTTGTGCGCAGTACAACACGTAGCTAATTGTCCAACTGCACTAACGCATGATCCACTATTTTGGTTTTAACAATTATAAGACACTCATGTCGCAACTCTCTCCGTAAACAGCTCTGGTTAATAAAAGCAGAGCCGTGTATAAAAAGGCCCAAGTTTTTCTTGTCAAAGCACCAAAGGTCACCAATTCATAGAGGCGCGTTGTCTCAGGGGACAACAAGGGACAACTTGATTTGCCCAGACTAGGTTGAATAGATTGACTTATAGGATTGAACTGTCGAAAAACTCTCTCTCTCTCTCTCTTTCGCGCTCTTAGTGAATCTGACTTCTCTTGTTATTCTGACGAACTATCCATGAGGCAGAGCTTATATACAGTCAGAAACAGGATGTAGCTGCAGAAATAAAACTAAAGCAGGGAAAATTCTCAGGAATGTTGACGATTAATAAGTATCTTAGAACAATGATCATGTCAACTCCTCTACCAAGAAATCCCTCACTACTGCATGGCGGCATAACAAGCATATGAGCTTTGCAAGGACCCATGCCATGTATGCGCAGAAACAATGCACATTAACACTGTGTAGAGTACACCGTGTGGATGTACAAGTATTTGTGTGTGTGCACATTATTGGCAATCAGGACTAATACTGGGAATGAAAAGGTTTAACATTACATTGATAATTGAGCATTTGCGTACTGGTCGAAAAGAATTCCGAGGGAGGAATTCAGAAACAATCCGTGCGCCACCACCGTGCCTAGGAGCCAAATGTCTTTACCAAATTGGACGGGAATATGGTACATAACATACAGCTGTTTATGACCTGGCAGCGTTTTCCTTCCTGCATGGTCAAAGATAGGAGGGGCAGTGCAGCATCAAGCCTGTTGGGGAATTCGGACAAAGAAGCAGCATGTGCACTGACAAGATAAATTTCGAGTCCTTGCCGGATGTGGTGAAAGGTGAG